TCCCAAGATTTTAATTTGAACAAAATAGGAAGCTCTATAATTTCTCAATTGCAACCACAAGGAGGTCAACAAAATATGTGCATACAGCAGGTGATAAACCAATGCCTTGAAAGCCTACTTTGTGGCTAGAAGGTTCTGGTCGTTTTGGATGACCTGTGGGAGGAAAAGACGGCTGAGTTGGATAAACTAAGAACGATGCTTCACATCAAGGACAGTAAAGTAGATGTCATAGTAACCACACAGGCTAAGTTTGGAAGACATTGCAAGAAAAGTTTGTACCAGTGAACCATACAGGCTACAAACTTTGGAAGATGATAAATGTTGGGAAATAATTAAGAGATACAGTAAGTTTGAAGTTAAATCTGACCAAGAAAAAAATGGGGCAAATAGGATTGGATATTGCAAGGAAATGTGGAGGTGTGGCATTAGCAGCTCAAGCAGTTGGATTCATGCTACGATCCATAGATGATCTGTCTGTATGGAAAGAAATTAATAACAGTGATATCTGGAATGGATCTTCTGAAGATTGTGATGTGCTTCCATCCTTGAAATTAAGTTATGAAAGGATGCCACCACAGCTAAGGATATGCTTTTCCTATTGTGCCATATTCCCCAAAGGGCATAATATTGTAGAAGATGATTTGGTTCAACAATGGATTGCTCTAGATTTCACCGAGTAGCCGAAGGGAAAAGAATATATCAACAAACTTTTGGGGATGTCCTTCCTTCAAGTTTCAAAGTTGCCCTTGGTATGCAACAATACCACTTCTTTACGCTACGTTTTCCTTGATGATTATCCCTTTGTTGATCCTATTGTACATCATGCATTCATATAGGCATGTAGCATGCATAACATATACACTATATAATGGTACAATTATGAAAGATTTTGCCGTTAGTTATTTCTAGTTGTGGTAAATGTATCGATCCTCGATTTCCTCGAAGGGAAATCCACATATTCGAATCTTAATCCCAGAAGATCACTCCATCACATTATCAGTCAACAACTGATATCACAAGTTCATACATCGAATACCTGTCTTAGAAGTACAAATAGAAGGGTTTAACATTTATTACATCGCCACTTGATGGAATCATCGGAGTTCACACAGCATCCATAATAGCATCAGAGTGGAACATCTAAGGTGCGGAAGTGTCTTCTCCTTCGACAAACTCGACTTTAGGACAAACTCCTCTAATCCTCCTCTCCATCGGGCTCGTCATCGTACTCAACACCTGCCAAATAACTTTTAGAACTATTTGTACTAGCCACTGGCTCCCACCCTATGCTTTGCGTTGCTTTGTGGTAGGTGGAATACATGGGTGGAGCAAAAGAACCTATTTGTGGTTATAGTTTTCCTATGCGTAGTTCATCAATATTTTATAAGTATTGCTCAAGTTTTAATCCATCTCATCCACACACATTCACCCATCTCACCACACTCTCACTCTCTAGGAGGCAAGGACAACTCCCTCTCATGCCTTGCCTCAGTGGCTCATGCCGGATCCACACAATAACCCAAGGGAAGAAGAAGAAAGGACTCCTCTCTCTAGTCAAGGGAAGCAGTAACATAGGAAAAGTCCATAGCCGTAAAAGAATGACTATGTATCGATCGATCAACCATAACTCTGTAGAGGTTTACACTAGGTCCACCAGATCACCATCATCGGCGGTGCCCCGCCTAGACTGATTCCATGCTGCTTTCCAAACTGAAACGATACCACCCTGCCACTCAGCCCTGAGGCACCCCAGAGTCCATCAGCACGCTGAGACTGTGAAACGCAATACCGGGCCACACGAGGGTATCACGTGCCTAGAAAGGTTCGGGTCCAAAACATCCTCACCTTCCACACTATCAACTACAACCTAGCAGTAGTGGCATCGCCCAGGTTAGTCCACAACCGTCTCCTTATTCCATTGGTGCGAGTGGCGCGTAGGTTCCTATGAACTAGTTCCCAGAACATATAAGTCCTTAGGGTCACCAAACAAGACATCTTCACTCAGGTTCAACGCCTTGTGCATCCACCAGCACCACTATTCCGGGGATTCATCCCACGAAGACACTCCTCCCTTTAATCTATACCCCAAACCAGTACCCGCCATAGGTACACGTCTCAAGGAGCGCTGAGGTCACAATCCAGCAAGACTTGCTCAACAACTCATCGTAGAATTCTATTCGGTCGACTCGACCCTCACCACACACCCAAGACACACGCCAAGATCTCCCCATGTTATTACCATATTATTGGCACCAAGTGCCTTAGCCACTCACAAACAATCCTCCACCAAGCATCACATCACAGATATAATGCGTAGTAGAAGTAAGTAGAAAGTAGTAAGCGAGTGTCTAGCCTTACAGTGGGTGTGCAGGGGTAAATGTTGTTTCAAGGTAATGGCTTCAAGCAATTCTACCATGCAACCTATCACAGTTCAATTGCAGAAAGTAAAGCACTAGCAACTATATTATTGCATGTCTAATAGGATTCTACGAGGTTGGGTAGGATGTGGCATTTGCAGACTGGTCATCTCCCAACTCCTCTGTGTAGTCGTAGTCATCCTCCTCAGGGTCCAGCCCCTCTGGGGCTGTTAAATGAGACACATAGTCGCGATAAGCGACTCCTATAGATGTTCACAAAGAAGCAACAGAAATTCGAAAGATCCAAATACACTCTAACATGGTCCTATGAGTTAGAGCTCATTTTTAGGAAAATTTGGGAACTAGTTTCATATTTTTCTGAGGTCGAATGGATTTATTATGATTTTTCCAAGTTTTATTCTATTTATGAAAAAAGAAAAAAGGGCAAATTAATCTAGGGCTGACACGTGGCAGACTCTGATTGGTCAGCGCGCGCACAGTCACTGACAGGCGAGGTCTACGGCTAGCCGTGACTGACAGGTGGGGTCAGGTCAACGGTCAACATTGACCGGGGCCAGTGGGCCAGGTCATCGGTCGGGTTATGCCGGGCTAGCCCGGACACGTGTCGGCTGCTGAGGCTGGCTAGGTGGCCCAGCTGGGCTCCTAACGGGCCTAGTCTATGCGGCCGATTCACGACATGGCGCACTGTGGACCACAGACTGGACGTAGGGGCTCATGCGTGCGGTGCTCGGTGCACTAAGTGCATGCGGGGATTGGATAGGGGCGCGACTGCTCCTTTCTCCCTCAACCGCGCTCTCGCCGGTGGTGAGCTCGGCGGCTGCGCGCTACGACGGCTCGGCGAGGCTGCTAAGGGGGTCTATGGCATCGCGAGCTCACCGTAGGGCTCATTGGGGCTAGGATAGCGGTGCGGTGGCGAGTTGACATAGTGACGAGGCAGTGTAGTGCCGTGCCGAGCTGCTGCGCCAGTGTAGCCGATCAAGGCATCGTCTCTGACTCCGGCAGTGGCTTCGTGGCGGCAATAGCTCAGACTCGCCGGCGCCACCTTTCTTCTCCTCCTCAGCCCTCCTCTTTGGCTGGCCGTGGTGCGGGCGTAGCCACCGAGTGGCAGCGGGGTGGATGGGCCAGGCTATGGCGTCGAGCTCGTGGCTTTTATAGCCCGAGCTCACCCATGGCGGGCGGCGGACGGCAGGGGAGAGCTCGGGAACACGTGTAGGGTGATCACGAGCTCCCGGCTAGGGTTTTGGGGGTGCGGGGTGAGCGCAGTGGCCTTGACGCCTCCAATTTGGAGCGGCGGAAGGGAGGGTACGGTGGTGGTAGGCGAGCGCGGCCGAGGCGTGGGCAGGCGGTGGCGTCAACAGCAGGCGTGGGCGCGAGCTGGGGGAGGTTCGGGTGGCATGGATCATCGATGTGGCGGCCATCCAGAGGTGGGGCGAAGGCGGTGCGGGCAGGGACGGTGGCGATGGCCTTTGCCATCTTCGGCTAATCGCCGGCGGGGGAGTGGTGTAAAGCACAGAGGGGAGGAAGAGGGAAGGGGATGATAGATGGGGAGAGCGGCACGGAGAGAGGGGACATTGCGCGAGTTGGGCCGCTGGCGTGGGCCGACTCGACTGGCTGGGCTCCTTTCCCTTTTCTTTTTCTATTCCTATTTCTTCTCCTTTTCTATTTCTATTTCTTATTTCTCCATCTCTATCATGTATACATGTGTTTCATACATGTATATAACGTAGTGAGGTCCACCTAGGTCAACCTTAGGGGTTTTTGGGTCAAGCCAGGGCCTGGGCCCACACACACACACCAGCAAAACAACCTTTGGTTGATTAGGGGTTTGTTAATCAATACATGAGATCCAAATATGAAGCAACTCAAGGTTGGATTAAATGCAATGCTCAAACATCTACATTAAGTTCTACTTGTGCAACTAGGGTGGCTTGCTAGCATGATCACTCACCAAGCATAGGCTTTTAAAAAAAGTTTTTAAAAGTTGTGATTTTTGGGTTTGGGATTTTCAGGGATGTTATAATAAAAAAGAACACTCCATGGCAATATAGTTGCCTAGAGGTTCATATTTTCTAGTTCCAAAAGGCATGTGTAATTAAAGATAACTATAAGGAACGAATAAAGAAGGAATATATAGTGACATTTTAGATATTTATTTACCTTTTACAATGTTGTATTAATTATGTTTTCTTTGGAACCAAGCTTGCATATTACTGGAGGTACCCAGACCCTAGCCAATAATGACCCTAGCTAATGGCGACGCTCCAGTTCTATCCCTATCCCACTGTAGTATCCAAGGCTTTAATTGGTGACACGTGCACTAAGTCGCCACCTAGCCGACCTGATGACTCTGGTGACACGGCAGAGAGGCAATGTAACACCCTGCATCCAAAAATTTGTTACACCCTGTATCAAACATCATGCTATTAGAAGCATAAATAAACAGCACATGCATATCACCCTATGCCATAAAATTGTAATCACGTTGCAATGCCAATTTCTTCTCAAAGCATTTTTTCATCACATGATCTTACACTACAAAAGGTGGACTTTAGTTGTCTAATGTATGTTGTTGTGTTCTTATTTTCGTTTCAGACTTCTCAAGACCATGTGGTGCGATACACCATGCATGACCTGGTGCATGACTTGGCGAGATTGACTGTGGCGGATGAATTAATAGTTTTTGATGTGGCACCACAGAGAAATACTCATGTCCACAAATATTGTCATTATTCATTGCTAAGGAAATATGACCAGACAGTGAAGTTGGAAAATATGCCTTCAAAGATGAGGGCACTTCGTTTCTCGGATAATGGCGAACTGGACATCCAGATTGGTGCATTTTCATTTGCGAAATATCTGCGTACATTGGATTTCAGTGAATGCTCTGGTATAATGTTGCCAGCTTCAATTGGCATACTGAAGCAGCTGAGGTGTCTTATTGCTCCAAGAATGAAAAATGATAGTCTCCCAGAGTGTATCACTGAGCTATCAAAACTGCAGTACCTAAACATTACTGGATCTTCTAAAATCACTGAACTACCAAGATCAATTGGCAACCTTGGGTGTCTCCAATATATATGTTTGTCCGGTTGTTCTGGTATATCAGAATTGGAAGAGTCATTTGGTGACTTAAAATGTATGGTGCATCTGGACATGTCAGGTTGTTCTGGGCTAACAGAACTGCCAGACTCTCTTGGTAATCTCACAAATTTGCAGCATCTTGAGTTATCTGGATGCTCCAGGGTAAAAGCAGTACCTGAATCATTGTGTGGCCTAACACAACTCCAATATTTGAACTTATCATCTTGTGCTTATCTTGAAGGGCTACCAGAAGGTATTGGTAGCCTAGTTGGTATAAAATATTTAAACATGTCAGGCTGTGTACACATCAGAGGACTGCCACAGTCAATGATGAAGCTCCAAAGTTTGTGGCATCGAAATTTGTCACGCTGCAGGCGCATGCGGAGAGGGTCACTGGCATGTCTGCGTGGCCTAACCGCACTCTGACACCTGGATATTTCACATTTAGGGGGTAGTCAGCCTGAAGGTTTATTAGAAGATTTGCGAATCCTCACCAATAATCTCAAGTACTTGAGGTTAAGGCACTGCTACCAGCTGAGATGCGGTGACTTTATTGCTACCCTTACCAATCTGGACGTATCTTGTAATTTAAATCTTGCATATCTTCCAGAAAGTATTGGTAACCTCAAAAGATTGCGTACACTGGATCTTTCTTATTGTTCTCAGCTTAAGTCCGTACCAGAGAGTATACGTACACTTGGGCTGAGGTCTCTAGTGCTGGATGGTTGCTCGGATGCACTGCAGGATAAGGCCAGTTCACTGCCGGCATATTATGCACAAACATTACCAGTCTTCGAGGTTGGTGCTGATCATGTCAATGGTTGCAGCAATCTTCATCTGCTCAAGGGCATCCATGTTAGTGAGTTAAGAATATGTTGTCTTGAAAAAGTAAGGTCTCTAGAAGAAGCAACTAAAGTTATGCTGTCAGACAAAAATTATCTCTCGGTGTTAACATTGGCTTGGTCGACCAAGCGTGCGGTTCAAATTTTGGAGGACAAAGATTTGTTGGAACAACTAGTGCCACCAACAGGTTTGAAGAGCATGTGCCTCCAAGGTTACAGCAGTACAAGCTTTCCAAGCTGGCTTATGTGCATTTCTCGTCACCTCACAAACCTTGTTTTTATTGAACTGCGTGATCTGCCCACGTGTAGAAACCTGCCACCACTTAAGCAGTTGCCGCACCTAGAAAAGCTGTCGCTCCGGAATTTGCCTGCCATTAAAAGAATGGACAGGGAATTTTGTGGTGGCAAAGGAGCATTCCGTAGATTGTCAACTTTCGAAGTCAGAGATATGAATGGCTTGGAGGAGTGGAACACAACATACTCTGTTGAGGATGGTGTGGAGGAGTTCATGTTCCCTGTGCTAGACTGTCTAAAGATAGACAGGTGTCCAAGGTTGAGGTTGAAACCATGCCCACCAACATTTCGTGAGTGCGTTATAAATTGGAGCAACCAAGTTATATTTTCACTGGAGGAGGTAGACAAAACCAGTCATCACTGCTCTTCCTCTAGGCCAGCCATCAAATTGGCTTTGGCTATAAGCTTCGTGGAGATCAACCCCTGCCAGAGCATAAGGCTATTTCACCACTTCCCTGCCCTCCGAGAGTTGTGTATCGAAGGACATCTGACGAGCTTGCCGGAAAGCATGCGGCACCTCACTTCCCTTGAGTCACTGACGTTGGCTTGGTGCCGAGGCATATCAGCACTGCCAGAATGGCTGGGCGACCTCTCCTCTTTAAAAAGCCTTGTCATCGAAGGATGTAGGAGCATCAAGTCGTTGCCTCCATGCATACAGCAACTCACCAAGCTTCAGAAGCTAGAGATTAGGTGCAACCAGGATCTGAAGAAGTGGTGTGAATCAGAAGAGAACAAGGCGAAGCTGGCTCACATAAACATTAGAGTAAGTTTCACATGACGAACTCCACTATATCTCATTTCAGGCTTCAAGTTTTCCGTTATACAACTATGCTCTTTGTATGTATTCTCTTCGACCGTGCAGTACTTTAGTTTCCTTGCTGCATACAAATAGTAGGGCCAAAATTTACTGCAGGAGGAAAAAAAGTTAAGAAAGTAATTTAGAAGCTCAACTCTCTCGCATGGATTAGTTATAGAGTTAGCATTGCCTAAATTAAACAATTTCAATACCAATCTGTTTCAAAGAAGATATTCGTTTGTTGAAGACAGAATGGTGTAAAACAACTATATATTTCAAAGAAGACATTATTCGTGTTTGTGAAAAGAGAACAGAATATCCATGATGATATATGTCCAAGCAATGAAAGTCAGACGATACATAATACGTGCATAAAACATGGGGACGTTTATTTGGTTTCATATATATCAGTTGTGTGGAATTAATTCTTTTGTGTCCAATTAGCGCCGATAGCTAATCTGTACACACTATATTTGTACTGTGCAGCTTCTTGATTATTGAGGACTGATCCATTGGTCGCATAACAAGTCAAAAGGCATCAGTGGCGGCCACCGTCAGCTGACTTGAGGTCGAGGAAACTAGTGTTTATGGAATATCCACTGCCTGCTAAGGCCATCTAAGGATCGATTCCGTGATTGTCTGTCCCATATTGGTGTATCTAATAAGTGTACCGTTGTTTGACACTAATATTGCTTTGAGATGCACTTTAATTAATACTACTACTACGTATCAAGGAGCCTGCGCGCTGCTTAATTTTGGTCTCATTCTAGGCCAACAAATTAAACTTCAGGACGTGACCGTCGTCCTGTCCGAGCAATTGCATCTTAAGAGAATGCCGACTAGCATGCGAATGTTCTACGCACGCTCGCAAGAATTGTCTTTCTTTCGTTGGCAACTTTATTTCCATGCATATGTATGTGCCTTCAACAAACGATTTGAATGTTACTGTTACACACACAGAGAATTTGCTTTACCTGGCAAATTTGGGCCCCCGAAATACCTTTGTTGGCCTGCTGGGACGGAATCTAGTCCACAGAGACATTTGGGCCCCCGAATTGAATTTGCATATCCCTTGGCCCACTGCAGAGCAATAATGGAAACTTCGTGTTGGACCAGCCTGCTGCCAGATTCGTTGGCCCACTACAGGTCGGATGGATCGGATGGCAGTCTTTTTGTTTTGTTGGCAGCTTTTTTTCATACATGCATAGTTTTTGGAGGTGGTTCCTGTAAATAAAATGAAATACCTTCAACCGACAATTTGAATGTCACTACTCGATACATACACACACAGACCGACCCTGTACGTGAGCTCTTGCCACCAAAAATCGAGGAAAATGAAGATGACGAATTAGATAGTTTACACAGCTTTAATTGTGATAGCTAGCTTGTTGTGTCACTTGCATTTGTTACTTTTGCTGTTTCCTAGTATTGGAGTATATTATATATTAGCTATATAAGCGTAAGGCTGCGAGGTCATCTGGTAGCTAGCTAGTCGGGCTGCCGGGGGCATGCATGGAAGTGGACACAGGCACAGCAACAGCAACAGCATTACCTGGCCGTTGGTTCGTGATTTGCATACAACCAGGCTGCAGCAACGTGACTGATGAGAGCAGGGTTCATTAATTAATCTCTATACTAGATCCCAAGCCTAGAGCCCATACGAAAGCTCCTGTTCAAATCTTAATTCAACCAATTAACAAGTCACTGCATAGAACCGGATGAATTTCGTGCGCCAAAACTCGAATTGTGGCCAACACTTCAACTCTGGAATCGAGTCACCGACTCCAGTCAGACTGCACCCATGCAAAACACTACCGGGAACAGGATCTTTGCCTTGTGCCACACGGCAAAGGCACGAAAATATTCGGCAAACTCGGTAAAATTTTTATCAGTAAAGAATTTTTGCCGAGTATTTTTTGTCGGACACTCGGCAAACATTTTTTTGAAAAAAAAATAAAAAAACAAGCACCACCGGCCGCCACCCACCACCGAGCTGCCTCCCGCCGCCACCAGGCCGGAGCTGCCTCCCGCCGCCACCAAGCCCGCCACGCCACCACGCCCGAGCTGCCGATGCCGAAGCTAGGGCCCGCCTCGACCACGACCACCTCGCGGTCGGCCATCGCGCCCACCACCACGAAGCCGGAGAAAGGGAGAGGAGGGGCGGGGTCCCCGCCAGATCCGGGGAGGAGGGGCGGTGCGGCGACCGGATCCAGCCGGATCCGAGGAAGAAAGGTGAGAGGAGGGGCGGGGCGACGGCCGGATCCGGGGAGGAGGGGCGGTGTGGCGGCCGGATCCGGCCGGATCCAGGGAAGAAAGGTGAGAGGAGGGAGGGGGGCTGGCCGGAGAAAAAGAGAGAGAGGGGGCGGGAGAGGGGAGGGGGCGCCGGTGAGGGGAGGGGGGCCCGGAGAGGAGGGAGGGCGCCACCGGGATTTGAGGGGGGGGCGCCAAGGTGGGAGGGAGGAGGTGCGCCATGAGGGCCGGCCGTCGGCGGGGAGGGGGGAGAGAGAGCCGGGAGGGAGGGAGGGAGGGCGCGATGATGCGTGGGGAGGGATGGTGCGGCAAAAGGGGGAGGCAGGCAAGGGAAAGGAGGAGGGAGGCGGGGTTTTATTTCCAGATAAAAATTCTTTGCCGAGTGTTATAGATCTGAGCACTCGGCAGCCGAGTGTTGTAGATCTGAGCACTCGGTAAAGTTTTTTTTCATTTTTTTTTCTTCTCCTTCTTTTCCAGAAAAAAGATTTTATTTCTTTGCCGAGTGTTATTTTTTTGACACTCGGCAAACCCACTATTTGCCGAGTGTTTTTTTTACACTCGGCAAACCCGCTCTTTTGCCGAGTGTTTTTTTTTTGCCGAGTGTTTTTAGCGCAGCACTCGGCAAAGAACTTAGTCGCCGAGTGCCCGAGGGAATACACTCGGCAAACATAAAAATACTCGGCAAACATAAAAATACTCGGCAAATTTGAGGATTCAGTAGTGAAACCCCGACGGTACGGTCAAGCTAGCCATTCTTGTATGGTCCAACCAGTGATGAAACCATCCTACCAAAGTTCTGGCCCAATACATCATCTTCAGCTTTGCTTAGGATCAGTCGGTGATTTTCTGAACGAAGTCGTGAGAAAATATAGGAAGGGAAATCGTTGGCTTTCCAAGGTCCAGGTTTGGAAAACTGATCTTCAGCTTTGGTATGCGGTAGAGTATTGTTCCTAATTATCGAAACCGCATATTATTTCAACCAGTGCCGGTCCTAGAATTTTAAGGGCCCTATGGCGATCTCGTCGCAACGGCCCCTCTTGATCATATATAAAATCTTATAATATATCGATGCTAATTTTACTTGCAAAACGAAAGCAAATTCAATAACATATTTTCAATTTAATATGTCTGATAATTATCGAGGAACAATGTAGATTAAGCAATATATTTGTAGATGTATAATAAATATCGAGAAACAATGTAGATTAAAAAAAGCAATATATTCGTTTTCTTTTCTCACCCATGACAAATATTTCTTAGGTAACATTTTAAAATTCTAACACATAAATTAGAAGAAAAATATGACTATATGGGTACAAAGTATTAGAAGTCTGGAATACTATACAAATAATTAATTTGGATTAAAAATAAAAAGTAAAAAATACCTTGGGCCTAAACAACAGATCGGTGATCGCAATTCATAAGAAACCAAGAATCAAGATGTCGTCGTCGTGGAGCCCTGCCTGGCCGCCGTCCTCGTGCGCCGTATATGTGTCTCCGGTAGTCTAGCTCTTCGCGGTGGCGCGGCTCGCGCAGTTCCGCGTGTGTAAGGCGCACGTCGCGAACTCACGATCAGAGCGTGCTATGTGCAGCGTGACTCATCGCCTCCTCTCTACCCAAGGGCCGTGGGGAAAGGAAACTAGCAAAGAAATGGCGATGTTATCTTTTTGGGTCACCTGTTTAGTTATATGTCTCTCTTCTCATTAGTTTGCTAATGCTTAATGAACTATAGAACCTGGGGGTCTGTATATCTGGGCTTGAGTCCCTCCTCTACTTGGGTCCTTGGTCGTCGCATCTCATGCCCTACCCTAGGGCCGGCACTGATTTCAACGAAAGCTAAAGCTTACATGTTCCGTTAGAAAAAAGAAAGCATAAAAGCTTATTCATTATTTATTTAAACAGCATCCACTTTTTGCACACCACGGCATCTCCTTGGAACAGGTCTGATGGAAAAAGTGGATCCTGTTCATGGAAATGGTCCATGGATTGGAATGAAACGAACCGGGATAAGATCGGATCAATTCTGTAGCAGTAGCCCCGGTGCAGCTACAAAGAACCTATTGCTCGTCCAGCGGCATCTCCTCGGAGAGCATGCATGACCGATGTTATTATCTAATGAAACGCATTTTATTTCCAAGAAACCTGAATAAAAGCTGATTATTTTGATTGCATTCATCGGTAGGATGCCACGCGGGGCCTCTTAGGACACCGCAAGGGAGGCTAACACTCTTAGTGGCCCTAGTACAAATACAGCGATCCATAGACTAGAAAATATTGAGACTACTATTCATACAATACAAACTATCACTACTTGTGATTTGCATAGAAATTTTTTGTTTTCATCATGCCTCACATTTATTTCCTCTCCCTCTTCTTTTTTAGCATTGATCACCTTCTATCTCCCCAAGCATATATAGCTTCTGCAAGTCACTATAACAAGTATAAAGCACCTATTTTTTTATCCGATCCTACGTGTCACTTGGGGCTACAAACAAAAGCGTAGCGTCGGGGAAGGCCTCATTGAAACATGTCCGATGGGAAAAGTGGTGGATAAAAGGAAACAAAAGGGACAGGATAGGATCCAATTCTTCTGTAGTAGTGGCCCCAGAAGTTATACAAAAGGCAAAACTAGTGCTCCTCAACATCATCGGCATCTCCTCGGCCCAGAGCATCTCCCTTGCCTTTCACAGAGCATCTCCTTTTTCCATTTTCTCTGCATTGGTGGAGAACCGCATCAGCCTCCACTCACAGGCAGTCAGGGACCAGCTTCCCTCTTCCAATTTCCATGTGGGTCCTGGGCCTCCTGGGCAAACCGATGCCAGTGCTATTGCATTTCCTTTATTCCAGCAAGAATCGAACACCCACTAGGACTCTAGCAGAGAGAGGTGCTCTAAGAGATCGACTTATATGTTTGTCAGCTTCGTTCGTTGTTCCTCTGCGCACACCATTCTTCGCGCACCAACCGTGAGCTCTTCAGCTAGCTAGCCATGGCGGAAGCAGTAGCTGGCTTGCTCACGTCCGCTTTCGTCAATATCGCGAAAAATAAGCTGGGCTCTGCCATCGGGGAGCAGGCTAATTTGCTCTGGAACTTTGGTGGCGACTTGGAGGGGATGAAGGATGCCTTGGAGACCATCTCAGCTGTGCTTGAGGATGCTGAGAGGCGGTCAGGCAAGGACAAACTGGTGCAGCTATGTCTGAAGCGGCTCAAGGACGTCGCCTTAGACATCTCCGACGTCCTCGAAGACTACCAAGAGACCAGTGACCAAGCAACTGTAAAGGTGCGTAGTTATACTCGCAGATCAAAGTACTGTCACGATGGTTTATATTCAATAAATATATAATTACTCAAAACCACGTTGAATATACAACTATACATACAATTTTTTCGTTAATAACCACCCCAAAACTGTCTCTGACTTCATCTTTGGTCGCCATATGGTCGGAGGCAGATCCAAGATTCACACATTAGGGATGTCATTAACAGGAGTCACCGACACTACTACAGTTCAATTTATAACCCAGCTCCCTCTCCAATTCCGTCTCTACAAATCAGCGATTTGTAAAGACGGTTCTCTAGCTGCCTCTAAAAATCGGCCATCTCTAGAAATCTGATTTTTAAAGGCGGCTGCATTTTGAGCCGCTTCTATAAATTGTTGTCCAAAAATAACAAATCCAAGTCGAAGAAACAGCAAAAACAAAAGAAAAAATTAGCTAAAAGATATTTTATAGCGCTTGAACCCACGACGCGTGGCTTTGCACGAGCATCCTCTAACCACTCTACCCATACAACACTTATGCCTAAATGAGATATTTGTCCTCCTTATTTTAGTTTCATCCGATTTTGAATTAACTATTTGAGACCACAAATGAATTCAAATGAAAAAGTTATCAACTACATAGTTTCATAAGTTTTTGAAATCTACAACTTTGATTTTGGTTATTTCTCTATCGACGTCGTTTGAAATTTTTTGATTTCAAATATGAGAAATTCACACATAATTTTCCATACATAGATGAATTCAAATAAAAAGGATGTCAACTACAAAGTTGCATAGCTTTTTGATATCTACAACTTTCATTTTATTCATTTCTCCATCCGATGTTGTTTGAAAAGTTTGAATTTTAAATGTGAGGAAATTCAAACAAATTTCCTTGCATAGATGATTTAAAATAAAAAAGTTGTCAAGTCCAAAATTGTATTACTTTTCAAGATCTGCAACTTTGTTTTGGTCATTTCTCCATCCGATGTCATTTGAAAAATTCAAATTTCAAAATCGAGAAATTCAAACATAATTTTTCATAAATAGATAATTTCAAATGAAAAGGTTTTTAACTACAAAGTTATATAACTTTTTGAGATCTACAACTTTTATTTTAGTCATTTCTCCATCTGAGGTCATTTGAAAAATTCAAATTTACTATACACCTCCTATTTTTTGAGGCGTCTGAAAATCGATTTTAGAGGCGGCTAGAAATAGAGCAGCCTCCAGCCGCATCTAGAAAAGGTCCTTGAATTGAACTAAAGCCAGAGCCATGTAGCCCTCACGGTTATACTATAAGTTCCGGATTTTTCTTCAAATAGGTCCTTAGGAGGGCCAAGAGCATCATGTATAAAAGCCTAGAGCTCCCTTGCCCTATAACCAAGTTGCTAAAAAGCAAATTTTATCCTTTGTTGCATAAAGCCATTAGTTATTATTCAGATCATGTATAATTAAATTGAGCGCTAGCAAATGCTACCCATATGCAAGTAAACCCATAGCTGTCAAGGTATCAAGATCGCAAAAGATAGATCATTCCTTAGGGGTAGTAAAACTAGACACATGCAACATGAATTATAATGATTATAAAGTGTGTAGGTAATAAGGATAGTCCCATGTTATATTTGCCTTGCTCAAAGTGTTTCTTGCTGGTCCTGCTCGTTAAAGTATTGGCCTTGTTCAACATCGTACTTCTCACCGTTTACACTCAGATCATCAATACAACAACACACAAGCATCCACGTAATCATGCACAAAGCAAACAATAACTATAATTAGAATAGTACACCAATAGTGGAAAAACAAGTTGAAAAGTTTATAAAACTAATCTACACATCACTACGAACACACATACGCGAGAATCACCGAAATCGGATTTAAAATGGATAAGATTAGATGATTTTAGGCCCTGTTTGGTTGAGCTGTGGATGATAGTTTCATAAAGCTAACTTGTAATGAGTTGTAGAAAAGCTAAAAAATTTGATTAAACAAGTATAAATATACCTTTTATCTTTATATCTCTTGAAACAACTATGGAAGATTTTTATTCCACCAATTTCAGAAAGTTAAAAAGCCAAAAGCGAGGTCAACCCAAATTTTCAAAATGAACTAGCAAATGCTGCGGTTGCTTTAAAAAGCACCAAAAAAGCAGCCCCTTTGGTTGGGCTTTTGGCTTTTGGAGCCAAAAGCCAAAGCCAAAAGCCCAACCAAACAGGGCCTTAAGCTCTGGATGACAGTTTCATAAATAACACGAACTAAATTAGAATTAAAATAAATAGGATTCGAGATTCATATAGATCAAGGGGGGGTTAAATTCCGTGAAGAGAGGGTCTTTGGCCGTGCTAGGGTAGTGATCTCGAGCCTTTGATCTTGCAATGAGCGGCTGTGATTAGATGGGAGGGAATAGAGAGAGGTGGCGGGCAGCAAAGACTCACCAAGATGGTCACCATTGACCTAGAAGGTCGCCACAAGACATGGAAATGGCCTAGGGAAAGCTTGACATGGGAAAAGCACACGAAAAAGAGGAGACTATGGCGAACTCACCAGGGGACTTTTCGCGAACGGAGAGGGAGAGCAGATGACACGAGGCTTGGTTGGGCGGACGGGAGCTCCTGCATAGGTTTGGCAATGTCGCTTGAGCAACCAAGAACGAAATAGAGGCCTGGAGAGTGCTGGGGAGCTTCGTCACCTAGACGCGAAGCTCGGCAGTGGGTTACGGACAAAGGAAATGCGGCGGCGTAGCAGACCGAAGTCACGGAGGTGCTGCTAGGCCTTGAGCGGCGCGGCGAGCTCAGAATATGGTGACGGCTTCGATTAGGGTTGGAAAAAGAGTGGCGTGTGCACAGGGCTTGGGCTTAATAGAGGTGCAGGCGTGGAGCGCACGCCCAAATCACACGGAATCCGGGCGGATCGACCCCAGGTAGAGTCCGACTCGGTGATGGAGCATGGAAGGGGATGGCACTGACGTGCGGCCCCGGAGTGGCAGTGAGAGAGGGCACGATTCTTGGCTGGCAGTCGACCAGAGAGGGGAGAAAGGTGAAGGACGGGGATATTGCGCGACGGGTCACGCTGAACGACAGCGCGTGACCCCCCACGCGTGACCCACTTCCGCATTCTGTTGGATGCGCCCGACCCCCCACGCATGACCCACTTCAACAGTCTGTTGCATGCACCCGCACCCCGACAGCCTACCGCCCATGCCCGACAAGCCTAGCATGTGCCCGCAGCCTGTGGTTCAAGCGTCATGGAAACCAAAAAACAGAAAAGTTTATTTAAATTATTATAACTTTTAAAGGATATATCCGTTTTCAATTCTGTTTGCCCTGAAATGATTTATGTGACGAGATGAATAAAACTAGACCTCACTAGCCTATGTTTCAAATTTTTTATTTTAATAGCAATTTATGTGTTAAAATGTGCTAGGAGATTTATGAAAGAAGTTGTTACTATGAAATACTAAACTTGTTACTCCAAAAATATACTAAAGTTTTTACATGGTATGCGCATCGATTGTTAACATAGGGTATAATAAATTTGTTATATATTTATTTACATAAAGGTACTAACCCCTAAAAAGAGTATCGGACCCAAAATAAAAACAATTCGCAACCTAGAGGGGCAAATTATTAAAATAAACAAAATCTAGGAAACTTGACTTGCTGCCAACTGAGGCATTTATTAAAAAATAAGGGTAGAGATACAAAACAACACAGGTTGCAACCTGAGGGCAAATTATTAGAATAAGCATTGCATAAGCTGTCAACTAGAGGGTCAAGCTATTATAAAACCCATTATATATAAGCCGGGAAATATGACTAGCTGACAGTTGGAGGGATATTTATTAAAAAGACAAGAGTAGCGACCCCAAATAAGACAAGTTGCACCATGAAAGGTAAATTATTAGAAGAAGCATTGCATAAGGTGCCAACCTGAAGGGTAAGTTATTATACAACTAATAGGTAGGATTTAGGGATGCATTCCAACCTAAAAGGGAGACTGAAAACTGAAACTAAAAAACATTAAAAAAACTTTGACAGTAACTAAAATTTAAAAACTAAAAAAAACATGACTGAAAACTGAAAATAAGAAAAAAAACATTTAAGTAAATAAAAGAAACAACGAAAAGATGAAATAATGAAACTAAAAAAGTATACACAGTAAAAAATGAAACATAAAACTGAAACTGAAATGGGCAACGAAAAATAAATCTGAAATTAACAACTGAGACTAAATGGAAAACAGAAATTAAAAAAAATGACACCCATAACTCATTAAACTCAAAAGAAAACTACAAAATGAAACTAATAACTCATTAAAATAAAAGGAAAATTGAAAAAAATGAAACTCATAACTCACTAAAGTAACTAAAAGAATGACCTTGTGTGTGGCAAGTTTAATTTCAAAAGCATCTAGCAAGTTATATTTTGAGCAAGTGACAAGCTATTACATAAGTAGCTACTATATGTAGAACATAAGTTACCATTATATAAAGTATATTCCAAAATATAGGCATCATGGGTCTAGTTCTATAGATCTCATCATAAGAAACATAATGGTGCAAATAAAACTAAAACCAGACTAGGTACAAAAAAGTTATCGCATTTTTAAAAGGAAGAAAACAAAACAAAAAAAATGAGTGGAGCACTACCAGCTGCAGCAAGTGTCGTATCTGTATCAAACTGCATGCACGGCCTTGCATGCAAGGCAGACCAGGCCGCGTGGGCACGGAAGGAGCAGGAGGGCCAGGCCGCATGGGCGCAGGTCGCGCACAAGCGCTGGAGCGCGACCTGTCGTCGGTTAGACTTTGCAAAGGGAATGCGCGCATGCTCCGGCTGGGCCGGCCAGATGGGCTAGAGCGCGAGCGCGCTGAGCCGGATTGGCGCCCTGGGCTTGCGGATCTAGCCAGGCTGAGTCTTTCATTTTTCTGCATAAACTGAATTTTCCAAATCATTTTCGAAAGGAATTTTAATTCAGTTTGAAATAAAACCAGACAGTACAGAAATAAATATGCGGCAGCATGTAATGCAAAAATATGTTCCTAACCTAATGATGGATTTTAATACAACAAAAGTTATTATTTCCTACATTTGAATGTTCACACAATTGCATAAATAAATCAATTTGTGCTATTTCAAAAGAATGCAAATTTCAAGGTGTTACAGGTAATACGATGGTATAGACAGAAAGAGACTAAGGGATATAGGGATTGTATCCTCCACTACAAGAGTGACCATGTTGCTGTAAGGAGATTAGTGAGGAAGCTAGGTGGGTGCAAGATGGCGGTGGGCCAATTGATGCTTACCACATCACTGGTTTGAGTGGAAGGCCACTGCATAGATCCATGGTGGTGCTCCGCTGTTGAGGGGTTGGTTTATTGAGCATGAAAGGAGGTAGAATTAAACATGGTGCCTATGCAGTGCTATTGAAGTATGGTGAACGACAGTGCACTATTTATAGGTCACTTGAGGTGTTTAGGGCATCGGTGGATCTCGATGGCTAGGTTGGCGAGTGGATGAAACTGTTACGGCTGTAGGCATCTTCAATTCAACAATAGGTGCTTTGTACCATCCAGTGGTATTGGAAAATCCCATACTGACCAATATCATTTGACGTTTTATGATATACTTTTGTACCATTTTCAATTTTTTTTCAAAAAGATTAAAGTTATCATTTTGTGATTTTAGCACTGCAATTTTTTTGCTTTTTTAATTAGTTATTATGGTACCATTTTTTGCTTGATGGCGGCTTGTGTAATGGTGTTGTACCACGAGGTTCAGTAGCTCTATCTTCTTGATTTTTCCAGCGAAATCCATGCATGCATTATAGTTTGTTCATAAAAAAACAATTTTACAAAATTTAATTATCTACTTGAAACATGTTTTATATAAATTTTTACAGTGATGTTCTAGACTACTGATGCGTACCAATTTTTTTAATTATTTTACATCAGTCACCAACCAGAAAACATTATTTCTTAATTTTTTTAACAGTATGTAGGGATATTATATAGTATGATTCTTCTTTACTGAAAGATGTGAAGTATATACTCCCTACATCCCAAATTGTAAGTCATTTCAAGAATCTTGAAGAGTCAAACTTTTTCAAGTTTGACTAAAATTATAGAGAGAAACACAAAGATTGATGACATCAAATAGGTATAATATGAAAATATAACTAATGAAGAATCTAATGATACTTGGTATGATAAATATTATTATTTTGTTATATAAATTTGGTCAAACTTGAAAAACTTTGACTCTCCAAGATTCCTGGAATGACTTACAATTTGGAATGGATGGAGTATTTAACATGTTCTTATTTCAGTTTGTGGTTATTGAATATATTATATTCCATATAGTTCTATATACAATTTGATGCATCTTTGCCTAGTGTACGTTCCAACTAAGAAATTAAATAAACTCAAACTCTTGCAGATGCCAGGAGTTCTCTCCTGCATTCCAGTGGCATACAAGAAGATTGCCGTGGCTAATAGGATGCAAACTTTGAGAGAAAAGCTGAGCAAAGTCAGAAACGAAATTCATAGCTTTAACTTCAGAAAGGGCAGTAGTATTAATAATGAGGCGTTTGCAATTGTCCACCTTGCAAAATCGATTTACGGAGGCGTTTAATGTGGTCGAGCCTGTTAGAAGCCCATCTCGGCCCAAAACTCAGGCCACAATATATAACCCAAACGAAAACCTAGCTCGAAAATCCACTCACTCTTCTCTCCCACACCTCCCTCCTATGCGCCGCTCAGGCCCCGACTCAGCACCGCTCGACTCTCTTCTCTCTGGCCTCTCTCTTTCTTCTCTCCCTCACCTCTCTCCTCACACGGTGGCGAGGGCTCGGTGGTGGGGGCCTGCGTGCTCCGGTGGGGCTCGTACGAGGCACGCACAATGGCAGCGGGGGGCCGCGTGCACCGGTGAGGCTCGGCGACGGGGTGCCGTGCGCTCCGGTGGGGCTTCGAAGTGGCGACGCGGCCCCTACGGCGGGCTCAGGCGGTGGCACGGCACGGGGATGCCGGATCCAGCGATGGCGGTTCACGGGGAGCCCTCTCTCTCCTCCCCCGATGGCGGCACGGCGCGGGGACGCCGGATCCGGTGGTGGAGGCACGAGGGAGGCAACGGCGGCAGCGGTGGGGCCATGCGAAGCAAGCGGGCTCGCCAATGGGCTCCAAAATGGGCTCGCTGGTGGGCTTTTGTTTTTTTTTTAAAAATGAATTACCGAGCCGGGCAATACAACCGCCTCGGTAAGTCGGTGATTTACAACGACCTTTGGACCGAGGCGGTTATGATGCCTGCCTCGGCAAATCGAAAACACCCGCCTCCAGTAAGTTTTATGTAGTAGTGAGCATGGCACTAGTGCCGCACAAATTGAGCCCCTTGCAGCATGTGCAAGAGCTTGGCCCGCCGTCCACTATTGCCTCCACGCTGAAAACACGCAAGCAAAGCTGGAAAAAGCCCCACCGCCGCCATCCCGTCAAGCTGCGCGCACGGCCTTGCCATCGGCCTGCTCCGGTGGCGGCGCATTGGGGGAGGGGGAGATAGGGTGCCGGTGGGCTACGGTTTGGGTGGCCTGGGAGTGGAGATGGATGCTATTCGGTTGGATATGCCAGATAGAGCTCAATTTTGGAACTTAGATGGAAAAGAGAATCGGATATGCTGCATTTTGGTGCTTTCAGACAGTGCAAGATTTATACGAAATTTATTTGGACATGGAGTGTGGCTAGAAACACATGAATTGGACTTCAGAATCCAATAGCACTTTGATGAACGATTTTGAGAATTTTTCAAGGGAGGGGATGGACTATAAATGGATTTACGTGTACGTTTTGTTACTCATGAGTTTTTATTTGTAGAATATATTTTTATCCAGCATGAGAGACTGATTAGTAGGGCGATGCTGTCAGCCATTGTTTGCTTATATTTTCTTTTAGTGGTTGCCTGGCACCATGCGCTAGATGTATGATTGTTGTCCATGTGTTCATGGACTGGCTCAGTGGTTCCATGGACCATTGGTTGACAATCAGCCTGTTCGTTTGGTTGTGACTCGTCGTAAACGATCGTAAATTTTCAGCCGCAACAGTATTTTTCTCTCACACAAATCAGCCAGCAATACTTCTTTACGAACCAGCAACGAAACGAACCAGCCAACCGAACATGCTAAATAGAAGTAAGTCCGCCATGGACCTTGCTAATGATCCTTAAGTCCAATTTGGAAATTGCGCACATGACGGTCAAACAAGAGGATAATGGGACGCGATGATTTAGATAGAGAAAGAGACTTAGGGATACGAGGCCAATTTGCTCCGAAGAGAAAGAAGCCGAGTGTGCTAAAAAATCACAGTAGGTATGTAAAATGATGTTTCATGGCCTTGTTTTGTCTTGTTTAGTGGAGCACCATGGCTAGCTACTCTCGTCTACTAGTAGAGTGACCATGGTGCAGGCATATGAGAGGGTGATGATGCTAGGAGGGTGCAAGAGGGTGGTGGTCCAGGTGATGCTTAGGACATCACCATTTTGAATGGAGGGCCACAAGAAGCGTACATCAATATTTGTGGTGCACCGCTGTGAAAGAGGTTGGCATGGTGCCTATGCAGTACTATGGTGCCTATGCAGCGCTATCGAAGCATTGTAAAGGGGCAGTGCTCCTACAGGCTTCTTGAGGTGGTTGAGACATTAATGGATCTCGATGGCTTAGCCGGCGAGTGGATAAAATAGTCATGGTGGCAGGCATGACTCATGCAATGACATGTGCTGTATAGTGGCATGGAAAAAATCTTATAAAGACCGATATCATTTTACATAATATGATATCTTTTTGGTCATTTTATTTTTTATCAGAAACAGGCAAGTTCTCATTTTGTGATTTTAGCACAGCGGTTCTTACTGTTTGTTCATTAGTTATTAAGATATCGTTTCTGGCTTGAAGAGACACCTGTGTAGTGGTGTTCTACCTCAAGGTTGAGTTGCTCAATCTTCTTTGTTTTACATTTTAAGGAAATACTTGCATTATAGTATTATTGAAAAAATAATTTTGACAACATAATTGTCTTTGAACATATTTTATATAAATTGGTAAGGTGTCACCTCCCAGATCATGTAGATATTTTTATATTTTCGAACAAAGAGTGTAAGTAATATGAATGGTCCCCTAGTGATGTTCTTGGCTATTGATGCAAACAATTTTTTCATATTTAATAGAAATATGAAACCAAAAACAATATTTCTTAATTTGTGTGTGACAGTGTGTAGGGATATATTATAGTTTGATCATTCTTTACTAAGAGATTTCAAGTATCTAGCATGTTCTTATTTCAGTTTGTGGTTATTGAATAGGTTATATTCATCATAATTTTATACAATTTGATGCATCTTTGCTTAGTGTAGGCTCCTACTAAGAACTAAATCTAACTCTTGCAGATGCCAGGAGTTCTCTCATGTCTCCCAGTGGCATACAAGAAGATTGCTATGGCTAATAGGATGAAGAGTTTGAGAGAAAAACTGAGGAAAATTGAAAAACAAATTGCTATCTTTGACTTCAAAAAGGGCAGTAATACTAATAATGAGCAGCCTTATGATGAACGTGAAACAACATCATATTTGCCTCAAGAACCATTGATTGGAAGGGACGGAGAAAAGCAGGAAATCATAAAGCTGTTATCTGCAAATACCAACAACGATGAGATAGTGATTGTCACTATATGTGGCCTTGGAGGTATGGGTAAGAGTACTTTGGCAAAACAAGTTTACAATGATGCCCAGTTCAAAATGTATGATCATCGTATATGGGTTTATGTGTCCCAAGACTTCAATTTGAACAAAATAGGAAGCTCTATCATTTCTCAACTACCAAGCCAAGGAGGTCCACAAAATATGGGAATACAGCAGGTGATAAACCAATGCCTTGAAAACCTACTCCTAGGCAAGAAGGTTCTGATTGTTTTAGATGACTTATGGGAGGAAAAGATGACCGAGTTGGACAAACTGAGAAGAACGCTTCAGGTCAAGGGCAGTAAGGTAGATGTCGTAGTAACTACACGCAAGGAACAGATTGCAAGGAAACTTTCCACCGGTGAACCATACAAGCTACGACCTTTGGAAGATGATATATGTTGGGAAATAATTAAGAGATCTAGCAGGTTTGAACTGAAACCTAACAAAGAAAATATGGAGCAAATAGGATTGGATATTGCAAAGAAATGTGGAGGTGTGCCATTAGCAGCTCAAGTAGTTGGATCCATGCTACAAAAAATAGATGATCTGTCTGGATGGATTGAAATAAATAGCAGTGATATCTGGAATATATCTTCTGAAGACAATGGTGTGCTTCCATCCTTGAAATTAAGTTATGAAAGGATGCCACCACAGCTCAGGGTATGCTTTTCCTATTGTTCCATATTCCCCAAAGGCCATAATATTGTCGGAGATGATTTGGCTCAACAGTGGATTGCTCTAGATTTTACGGAGCAATCAAAGGCAAAGGAATATATCAAGCAACTTCTTGGAATGTCCTTTCTTCATGCTTCAAAGTTGCCCTCGGTATGCTACATACAACTTCTGGAATACTACTTTTCCCTGATGATTATAACTATGTTGATTCCTATTGTACATCATGCTTTCATATAGGCATGTTGCATGCATAACATATACACTATATAGTTGATGGGCCTTGCTAAGGTACACGTACCCTTGTGCCTAGCACTTGTGCTGGACCTGGTTCAAGTAATTCACGTTCAAGACCCCATGCCTAGCATGTAAAATAAATAAACAATTTAAATACCAACACGTTAACGTTTCAATTTAAGTAAATAACTAAAATACACCTCAATATTTGTCACACTGAACAAAAAAATACAACTCAAGTTTAGCATCATGGGATAAATGACAACTCCACATAGATCAATGTGTTGAAAAAACAAGACATGTATGTATGGAACCGTCGGCATAGACCAATTAATTAAAAAAACGTTACATGTTATGTTGAGAAACATTCATATATATGCCTTTGCATGTTTGCATGCATGTTAGATCTAATTTATAGATACTTTACCTAAAATTTGGCTTACCTTTCTATTTCTCAAAATAATAAAGTATAGTTCTCTTTTTTGAAGAAACAAAGTACAGTTCTCTTATTAACTGTCAGGAGGTAATATGTAATTACAACCATCCAGATCAACGGTCCATATTTATTTGGGTGTACCATAGCAAAACCCATAGTAGATAATTAGTTGAATGATTTTCCCTTATGCATTTCTAGTTGTGGTAAAAAAAATAACCCTAAGTGGCAATATGCTTGCCCGGAAGTACATATTTTATCTAGTCCTAAAAAGCATGATATATACAATCAAATATAGTTATAGGTAATATCATGTAAAGTAGCAAGTAGCTTCACTAGGTACTTTTGTGGATCTTTAAAAAAAAAGTACTTTTGTGGGTCCCTCTCTAACCACGCTGGGAACATGTCTTGTATTCACCAAACAATCCAGTTCGTGTATCCTTCTTCATTCGGTGGACATTCTGGTGATCCTATTCACAGTGACTTCAACTCAACACAGCCCTGTTTTTAGAATCTAACGGGCCAACAAAGGTCTAAAGGGCATAAACCGAAGTTTCTTTGGCCTTTTCAGCCATACTTCAATGCCCAAATATATGAGCATGTTTATAGGTTGGAACGTGAGAAAATTATTTTTCACTAGTAACATATAAATGAGCATATTTACTAGTAAATCCAACAACCATAACAATCACTACCGGAAACAGGCTCTTTGCCTAGTGTTTTTATGTTTGCCGAGTGTATTCCCTCGGGCACTCGGCAAACAAGCCCTTTGCCGTGGCAAACAAGCCCTTTAACACTCGGCAAAGTTCGACACTCGACAAAACTAGGCACTCGGCAAAGAAATATGTTTGCCGAGTGTAATTGTCTGGCACTCGGTAAAGAAATAAATTTGCCGAGTGTCATGATCTGACAATCGGCAAAGCTATCTTTGCCGAGTGTTCTCGATCCGACACTCGGCAAACTGGGCACGTTATAAAAAGCTCCCGGCCGCCGCAGCAGGAGACGAGGTGAGAAGACATCATCGACTCACTCCAGTCCTCGCAGCGGCGGAGGCGCGAATTGCCGCCACCTGCAGCCAATCGGACACCACGACGCCGCGGCGTCCATTGCCATAGAGAGGTAAGAACACAACGAACTGAACAAATTCACATATGTGCTTACAACTTTGGTTTGTCGAGAACTCCAGATGTTCGCTTGCGTCTTTCTTCAACCAATAATGCAAGTGTCCATCTTTTTCTTCATCCGGACTGCTGTTCTCCAGGCTTACAGGCCACACGGCCACAAATTCATAGACTTGCAGAAGAACGACGAAGGAGATACGCCGGTCTTGCAGTAAATCAGAGGCCGATTCCTCATCCTTCCTTCAACCGCAACAGCGTCGGCGAAATCCGGGCCTGTTCACTTCAACTTATCAGCCGATTTATCATCTAAAATCTATAGTATTTTTCTCTCACAGCAAAACAACTTCAGCCAGTTTTAATATCAGCCAAACAGGCCCTCCATCCTCGGCGAGTGTTCAGCAAACAGAACTTCTTCTGGCCTCTCAACGTGTGAATGAGCATCCGTTGCGCCTTTTCTTTGCTCGGATCGATAAAAGTTGTGGTGGTGGCAGCGGCGTGCTGGTGGCGGCGTGGTGGCGGCGGCGAGCCACGGGTGGGTGGCGGCATGGCCGAGCCGCGTGCGGGGTGGGCGGCTTTTTTTCAAATTTTTTTTTGCCGAGTGTCGGTTTCTACACTCTGCACGATAGAAACACTCGACAAAGAAACATTTGCTGACACTGTATACGCTGAGTGTCGTTTACCAAGTGTAACACTCCACAAAGGCTTTGCCGAGTGTTTTTTGGGCTTCGCCGTATGCCGTGGACACACGGCAAAGCTGGGCATTCCGGTAGTGAATTTGGGATGTAGCTGCAGCGCTTCTTGGAGAACTTAATGTTCTTAATCATATTAGTGGAGCTGTTTACATTCTTTGTATTTGTATATAAAAAAATTCTTATTAATGCAAATAAGAAATTTTATACTTGCATAATTACATATTGTTGTATTCTACTTACTCTGGTAACAAACAATAATTTGTACATATCGTTGTATTTTATACTTCCAATCCAGGCAGTTAGTGGTCCCTAGTGTATATCTTTGATTGGACTTTTGTCTTACCCATGAATTTTTAGGCAAAGTTCTATAGTGTAGGGGAGGCTGAGACTTAAGATCGAGCAGCAGTGTTGTTCAGCCCCCCTGAAATATTTCCTGGATCCGCCGCTGCTTACATGCTTAGGATATATAATTATGAAGCCCGATTAATTTATGATATAATTGATATTGAAGATTAAATATCATAGACTGCAAAAAACATTAGTTTTGAACAGAACCTTGTTCAGAAGGACGTCCTAAAAATTCTGCACACGAATTGTACTAGAATTCGGTGCAACATGTAATTGGATATCAACCTTTTTAAAAAAAAAAATTACTTAATTCCCTCTCTCCATTCTCATAAGTAAACAGGGTTTCCTTGCAGTTTATTTGCATCTGATCGTTGGACTTTACTTCTCTTTACAAAATGTGAGCATTAGTTGACATTTCTAATCAATATTGCTATATACTTGTCCTTTCAGACTTCTCGAGAGCAAGTGGTGCGGTACACCATGCATGACCTGGTGCACGACCTGGCAAGATTGACAATGGATGACAAGCTAATAGATTTCAACGCACAGCAGAGAAATACACGTGGCCAGAAATATTGTCGCTATTCATTGCTAAAAAATTATGACCAGACAATAAAGTTGGCAAGTATTTTGCCTCCCAAGATTAGGGCACTTCGCTTCTCAGATAGTGGCGAACTGCATATCCAGAGTGGTGCATTTTCATTTGCGAACTGTCTGCGTATTTTGGATTTCAGTGAATGCTCAGGTATATTGTTGCCAGCTTCAATTGGCAAACTGAAGCAACTGAGGTGTCTTATTGCTCCAAGAATGCAAAATGAGAGTCTCCCGGAGTGTATCACTGAGCTAGGAAAACTGCAGTACCTAAACATAAATGGATCTTCTCAGATTTCTGCACTGCCAGAATCAATTGGCAAGCTTGGATGTCTGAAATATCTATGTTTGTCTGGTTGTTCTAGTATATCGAAACTGCCAGAATCATTTGGGGACTTAAAATGTATGGTGCATCTTGACATGTCAGGCTGTTCTGGGATAAGGGAACTGGAAGACTGGCTTGGTAAGCTCAGGAATTTGCAGCATCTTGACTTATCTGGATGCTCAAGTGTAAAAGCAATACCTGAACCATTGTGTGGCCTCACACAACTCCAATATTTGGACTTATCATCTTGTGAATGCCTTGATCGGCTACCAGAAGCTATTGGAAGTCTCATGGATTTACAATATTTAAACATGTCATACTGTGTCCAAATCAGAGAACTTCCAGAGTCACTGATGAAGCTCCAAAATTTGTTGCATCTAGATCTGTCATGCTGCATCAGCATGCGGTACCTGGGAGGTGTGCGTGGCCTCACCACACTACAGCACCTGAATATGTCAGGGGTATGGGTACTTGCTAATGGTGTTCAAGATTTATCATATGTTTTGGCAAACCTCACCAATCTCAAGTACTTGGGCCTAAGAAATTCAATCAGACGCGGCAGTGGTAGTTATGTCTTCCCTTATGGGATCGGTGGCCTTACCAATCTGGAGCACCTGGACCTATCTTATAATCAAAATATTGCATCTCTTCCAGAAAGTTTTGGTAACCTCAAAAGATTGCATACACTGGATCTTACGAAATGTTCTGGGCTTAAGTCCCTACCAAAGAGTATAGGTACACTTGGGCTGAAGACTTTATTGCTGGATGAGTGCTTGGATGAACTGCTGGATCAGGCCAGTTCCCTGGTAAATTATTCACAAACATTACCACTCTTCAAGGTTCGTGCTGATGAGTTCAATGGTTGCAGCAATCTTCCTCTGCTCGAGGGCGCCCATGTCAGTGAGTTAAGAATACGTTGTCTTGAAAATGTAAGGTCTCTAGAAGAAGCAACTAAAGTTAAGTTGTCAGGCAAACATAATCTGTCCAAGTTAACATTGGCTTGGTCGACTGAGCGTGCGGAACAAATTTTGGAGGACAAAGATTTGTTGGAACAACTAGTGCCACCAACTGGTTTGAAGAGCATGTGCCTCCAAGGTTACAGCAGTACAAGCTTTCCAGGCTGGCTCATGTGCATTTATCGTCACCTCATAAACCTTGTTTCTATCCAACTCAGCCAGATGCCTACGTGTAGCAGCCTGCCACCACTTGGGCAGTTACCACACCTAGAAAAGCTGGAGCTCCGGAAATTGCCTGGCATTAAAAGAATCGACAGTGAATTTTGTGGTGGCAAAGGAGCATTCCGTAGATTGTCAACTTTCCAAGTCAGAGATATGAATGGCTTGGAGGAGTGGAACACAACATACTGTGTTGAGGATGGTGTGGAGGAGTTCATGTTCCCTGTGCTAGACACTCTGTGGATACAAGATTGTCCGAGGTTAAGGTTGAAGCCATGCCCACCAACATTTCGTGACTGCCTTATATATAAGAGCGACCAAGTTATTTCATCATTGGAGGAGGTAGACATAACCAGTCATCACAGCTCTTCCTCTAGTGGGGCCATCCAATTGGATTTGACTATACAGGATGACTCCAGCCAGAGCATCAGGCTATTCCACCACTTCCCTGCCCTCCGAGAGTTGAGAATCTATGGAGCTCACCTGACAAACGTGCCGGAAAGCATGCGGCACCTCACTTCCCTTGAGTCGTTGACGTTGCAATGGTGCCATAGCATATCAGCACTGCCTGAGTTGCTGGGCCACCTCTCCTCCCTAAAAAGCCTTGTCATCATAGGATGTCACGAGATCAAGTCGTTGCCTGCATGCATACAGCAACTCACCAAGCTTCAGACGCTGGAGATAAGTTGGTGCACGGAACTGGAGAAGTGGTGTGAATCAGAAGAGAACAAGACGAAGCTGGCTCACATCAGCAATGTTCGAGTAAGTTCACTGCATGCAGATCAACTGCACTTCATCTAATTTGTAATTTCAGCCTTCAAGTTTTTCTCTATACGGTGACATATATAGTTGCTGTTTGTTTGCAGCACCCAAGTTATCTTATATTGTAGTGTATATATACACTCTGCTCTTTAGTTTGTTTGCATTATCTTTATGCAGTACATTATTTTACTTTCCGAATACAAAAGTAGGAGAAAGTTATACCAGGAGGGAAAAAATTAAGAAAGTAATTCAGAAGCTCCACTCGTCCATGGATTAATTAGTTAGGATGCCTAAATTCAACAACAACACTATACCAGTTTCTTTGGTCGGAGACATTGAGACAGATTAGTGTAAGACAACTATTTCAAAGGAGAAATTTGTTTTTGTCGAAAGAAAACAGAATGTTGATGATAATGTGTCAAAGTAATAAAAGTAAGACCTTACGTAATAAGTGCTTAAACATGGGAACGGTTATTTTGTTTTATATATGCATTGTGCACAAGGTTTTTTTTTGTTGAATTACCACCCATAGCTAATTAACTAGTAAACATTATATATATTTGCATGTGCAGATTGGTCAGGACTCATTGATTGGTACTTGGTAGCATGACAAGGAAAAAAGAAGGTTGTCATAAGAGAAGTGCATAAGGTCACAATGAGGTGCATAAAAGACTGAACAACGTTGCGGCGCCACCGCCCACCGGTGATGAGCTCACGGAAACCAGTTGTTGGATCCACTGCCTGCTATATGGATGGCCATCTCAGGATCAATTCTGTGATCCTCCGTCCATTGTTTGATAGTAGTAATGCTGTGAGATGCACTTTATTAAGTGTCTATTAATACTACTACTACATGGAGTAGATATTCAGGAGCCTGCGTGCTGCTTAATATTTTTGGAGCCACCGTCACTCGGGGAATCAGGGTCTCGCTACGCACGCTCGCATGGATCGGATGACAGAGACTTTATTTTTGTTTCTTTGGCAACTTTCCATGCCCACGCATATTTTTGGAGGCCCTCAGCCAGCGATTTAAGTGTTAGACACGACCTGTAGGCTGTAGTAGCTCACTGCCATGTGGGCCAGGGTGAGGCGGTCATAAGCCGTGGAGCGAGGGCCAGAGACGGCATCGATGTACTTCTTCTGAACTCTAATACGAATAGAAGCTGGGCCGCAATACCCACGTTGGGGAGGGAAGGCAAACTAATCCACAGAGATATTTGGGCTTGGGCCCCCGTATTGAATCTGCATATCCCCCTTGGCCCACTGCATGCGTACCAATGGAAACTTGGTGCAGGACCACCGGCCTGCTACCAGTGCGAGACACGTTGGTCGTGCCTGATGAACAAATCGTACGGTAAGGGTGTGTTGGACACACACTGCATATCTTGATCATTATACGACATACATACGGTAGGCATATGTACATACGGTAGGCATATGTGTATAAATTTCGGCCGAAATTCGCCGAATTTATTTCGCCGAATTTCGGCGAAAATCGGTTCTATCGCCCAGGCCCGGTAACAGCCCATACCAGTGTATAAATTTCGGCCTGATTTAAATTTTTTTTTGGCCCAGCAGAGTCCATACAGCCCATCTATCCACTCCGATCACATAAAGTCCAACTTGAAACCCTATCCGACGGGAATTTTATTTCTCTCCTCCTCAGACACTCCGCCGCCGCGCCGCTAGCCTTCTCTCTTCACCTCTTCTCTGGATCTGCTGCTCGCTTGCTCCGGAACTAGTAGTGATGGAGCTGGCGGAGGCGTACGCGCCGGACCACCACGCACGGGCAAGGCAGCACGGCTCCTCTGCCGCCACCTGTGATCTCTCTGCTCCAGTTCCCTTCCGCTTGCCTTTCTGACTCCGGCCATGAGACGAGCCGATGCGCCGTCGCAGCTGGAGACACCCCCGCGTGGATGGCGCTGCAGTGCAGAGCCTACACTTTTCTTCCGAGTCTTCGTATGATTGGAGTATTCGATTGGCCTTCTATCGTCTTGTTCATTTGCTCCTCTGTAATGTGAAAGGTGTTCTAGTTGACTATGAATTGGTAATAAAAAAGGTGAGATTATGCATAATCTATTAGTTCTCAAATTTCGACTGATTCTTGTTTAAATTCCTGTTTGAGCTAGTTCAAAATTTTAGACAAATTACGGTCAAATTCAAATTTCTGTTTGAACAAATTCAAAACTTTTTGTAGCGATAAATCCCGAAAATCACTGAAAATCGTGAATTTCGTTTCTCTCGCTGGGTACCGATATTTTTTGAGCAAACGGTAGCCCGAACTATGGCTCTCCGTGTCTGGTGTCGTCGGGCACGCCGTCACCATCAGCTACATCCCTAAGTCGTACCACTCCGTCCTCGACTTCGCCTAAACCGAGCTCGCCACCGCGGCCACCGAGAAGCTTTCGTCGGCCTCGGCCGGTTTCTGCATCGACGTCGCCCCCAGCAATACTGCTGACTTCGTGCCCAGCAAGTGTTCGATGTATTGCCGCAGTGTTTTCACTTCCATGCTGACCATAGCACTGAGCAGTTCTACTCCAACCTGGGTGTCTCCTGAGGTCGTCCACAGCTTTAACAAGCGACCGTGGCCACCACCATCTCAAGCTCAAGTGCTCCGTGAACAAGGTATGCACAGACTAGTGGTTGGTAATCTTTTTGACACTGAGCTGTATGTCATATGGTCCAAGCCCCCATGGCCACCACCTCAAAGCTAAGGATTGTGGTTTCAGTTATCTGTGATTTTTGTGCTTAGTTGTTCAGTTGGCAAGTGTAGGGTCACATTCTTGCATTGTGTGAGCTGTGATGCTGGGCTGCGTCCTCAACTATGGCCATCATTCAATCTACTGGATGAGGGTTCTGCAAGCTGGTGTTCCACTTATTTATGGACACCCCCATGGTTCCCTTCACTCTGGCAACTAATCAGGTGTGTTCCAGCTACTGCACTTCAGGAGCTTCTGACATGTCTAATGGCGCTATCAGTGAGTATGGATGGCTGTGCACTAATTCAAGAGCTAGTACAGCGGAAGTGTGGTGGCAATTATCGGTGTTCCTTGCTTGAAGAGATAGGACAGAAATTTCGAGTTGCAGGAGGACCCATGGATCACTGGCATGCTAAACAAGATTTGTTGCAGCAATTTTTGTCTTATGGTGCCAGCTGTACGTAAGTGTTGAATCTGAAGTGGAGCATTCAGTCACAGCTAAATGGAAGTGCCGGAGTTCCTCCCTTATTGACTATTTCCACTGCACGATGCATGGTTAATGGTTTGCTGCTACCTGAGCGTAGAGTAGTTGCAGTGACAAATTGGTATGAAGGCTTTCTTGGACTGCATCCTGACCACCGTACCTGTGTTGGACAAGCATTTGGCAGCTTCTTGTTTATGCCGGGTTGGACTGTCCATGAATGGCTACATTGAGTTGCAGCCTTGGCCACCTCGTAGGCAGGACTGCAATAATTTGCTTGGCGACACCATTAAGCTCTGCTGCAGTTTATGGTCCATATTTTGTTTGGGATGGTTTTCCCTGCAGTTCGTGCCACCATGGTCACTACATGTGCTGCTTGAGATCAAATGTGATGGAGTCCAACTCTGGCCATTTTTCTGTAGCTATGCAGTTCTGGTGCTCATGAACACATCAGCGTTAGTTGTTCCACCTCGTATGTCCTTTAGGTGCATACAAATTGCGGATGGCTCTCTTGTGTGGAGTTTTATAATGGGGACAAATACTACTGGAACTTACACTTCAAGTGCAGCTCCTCTTCCGGTTGCAGACGATGGCTTCAGGTGTGATCCCTGTGCATTACTAAGGCAACTTGAGTACTTGACAGTGCAAAAGCTCAGAGAAATTTACACATGCAAGCACCTGTGTGTTTGATTGCTGCTCAAGTTATTTTAGTTCCTTGGAAGTTTTGGCCATGGTTCACCAGATATACCTCTGATAGGTTTCTGCAGTTGACAGGTCACTAGGTGTTTGGGCATGCAGTTCAGCTCGCATGATAGCATGCTCAATGTTGTTGGGAGCATTACTGGTTGCACAGTCTGTGACTTTGGAATTCAGCTCGGAATGGATGATGCTTGATATGGGCTTCTTGACTACCAGCAAGGAAGTGCGGTATAGTGCTAATGGCTTCAGCTTGACATATTCCCAGTCTCATGAGCTTTTCGCTACTACAATATTGATCAGTAATTCAGTATGGCAACAAAGGGAAACACTACAGCTAGCATATTACCATTTGGCCTTGATAAGTCAAGAATCATTTGGGATCCCAGTGGTTCCATCCTTCTCCATCGGCTTGGGGGCAAGCCGAATCTCAAGGTTAGGGGAATGTCAGGATATGGCCATGGGCTTATGGGCCGGACAACATGTGCCTCGCGACCAAGGCCCAAGGAAGACACTATGAAGCACTACAAAAACAACAGGAGCCGGAGGGGAAACCAGATGGAATATTCAGAAAACAAAGGTTATCTTCCTTCTCGAGAATTCCCCTTCTAATTACTGTTCTTTTCTTCTCGAGAATTCCCCTTCTAATTACTGTTCTTTTCCTTCCTCTAGAACCCTATACTTCCTCTGCTGTTCTCTAATTCTCCACTGCTCTCCTCATTCCAGCTATCGGTTCTTGACAGAAGACCAACGAATCAGATACCGCCGGCGGGCGGCCGTGAGCCAAGCCGCCGCATGCGGCATGCCGCTGTTGGACCATACCTTCTTTGGATTAGTTAGTTAGGATGCCTAAATTATACAATTGCACCATACCTTCTTTGGTCGAAGACAGAATAGTGTAAGACAACTATTTCAAAGGAGACATTTGTTTTTGTCGAAAGAGAACAGAATATCGATGATGTTATATAAAAGTAATGGAAGTAAGACCATACGTATAAGTGCTTAAACATGGGAACGGTTGTGTGCTTTTATATATGCATTGTGCACAAGTTTTTTTTTGTTGAATTATCATGTCCATAGCTAACCAGTAGACATTATATATTTCTACACAATTCCTATCTATCAGTGGTACTTGGTGCTAGAAAAGCTGGTGCATGGATGGACGACACATAGACGTTGTTGCAGCACGCGCGCACCTACGACGGACGGACGACATGAGGCAAATTTCCTCGGATGCTCCAATGATTAACGTGCTGAGTAGTACCTGTAGGCTAGTAATAGCTTGATTATTTTGTTAAATGTTTGTCTCATAATATATCAAATTTTGTCCTTGTCTACCTATAGATATAATTATAAATTGTTAATTGTCTTTGTACCAACACATATCAAATTTTTTTCCGGTTTGTGGTTTTGTCTAGCGGGTTTTTTATTCACGGAGCTAAAAATTGCACGCGTGTCTCATACATCAGAGTTATAATAAAACTTAGTCTTATACATCACAGCGGAATACTAAAAAGATAATAAAACTCTCATGGCCGTCATCACAGGGAAGGTCAACTGGTTGACCACAAGCCTAATAATCCTCTGGGAAATCCTCATACCCGTTGTCATCTGTTACCCATCCGGGATTTTTATCCAAGTAAAGAAAATAAACAAGTGTAAGTACATTCCGTACTTAGCAAGATAACATGGGGTTATGAAGCTCAAAAAGGATAGACTCTGGTTTACTGCAGTTAGCATTTTTAATAGGTCAAGCTTTTATTCTCAAGTATTATCAAGTTATGCTTAAGCTCCCATTTAATCCCATATAAACATATATCAGAGTCATATGTACCATATATCATCAATAAACAACTTTATAAGATCACCATCAAGTATCCATTATTTTGTGAGTTTTTCGGACGCTTTCGTGGCTTGTGAGCAGGTACTGTTATAACATTTGTTACCCTCTGCAGAGGTGGTGCACATTCACCGCATGAGTCGTGATTCCCATATGCCCGGGTTAATTACTCCCATGTCACTTTGCCAAGGTGAGTAGGGGCAGGTACACTATGAAGCCATTTCATAGGTTTCCCTAACAAGTTAGGGCCGCTAGGTTTCCTTGGCGAGGCGGATGTAGGAACCCCCTTTCCTATGGCACATATCCATCAGCGGCTATATACAGAGGAATGAGGCAGGCGGTCCTATACCCAACGTGGCAAGCCCCATTTTGCGCCATAAAGGTAACCTCTAACAAGCTAGAAAAGGTCCTATTATTGAGCTAAAGTCGAGCCATATGACCCTCACGGTTGCACTGTCAGTCCCAGCTTTTGCCGACAGATAAGTCCTTATGGAGGGCCGAGAGCAACATGATCAAAATTCATTTGCACCATCACCCTATGGATCAGTTGTTATGAATCATGTTATACTTTTAGTTCCATAGAACCATTCACCATCATATAGATCAGGTTCAGTTAGAGCACTAGCAATCTACCCATATGCAATTACCCATAGGCGTCAAGGGAACAAGTCATCAAATGACTAGAATATCCTTATGGTGATCAAAATTTGACACATGCACATGATTAAATGATTAAAGTGAATAGGACATCAAGGTAGGCCCATGCTATACTTGTCTTGGTTCACAAACTCTTGCTGGTCCTGCTGGTCGTCGAAGAATTCTTGATCTCCAACGTTCTCCTCACCGTCTGAACGCGACCAACACGGCAACATACAACATTCCAAAAGCATTCATGCAAAGCAAACATTCCTATCATTAGAACAGTACACCAATAGTATAGAAAACAAGATAAAATGTTTGTGAAAATGATCTACGTCTCGCTACGATCACGTCAACGCGAAGTTCACGAAAAACGGAGCTAAAATGCGAAAGTTATGATTTAAACGGGATTTCCTATAGCAATATATTTAATTAAATCTAACCATGAAATCTAAAAGTTCCAAACTTGACTAACAGTGGTTCTAACATGTAGATTATGAAATTATGAAGCTAACGCGATTTGAACGGATCAATTCGGACCTAAAACGACAATTTTATAAGCAAAACAGTTCAAATGACATTTTCAGAACATCGAAAACGTATTTTAGACTAAAGCAGTGAACTTTACGTTTTCAAAACGAGAATGCGTAATAAGGAAAATGCGCTTTGGTTGCGGGTTCTATTACGCCGAAAACAGAGGGCTCTTTAGCAAAACCACCCGAAGGGTAACTTCTAATCTCGCCGTTGATCTCGCGATGGCGGCTAGGATCGGCACTGGGGGACGGCCCGGCAGTCAGGTCACCGTGACAGCGCCATGGTCGGGCGGGATGGACTCACGAGCAGCTGGCAGTTAGGGTCTACGGCTCACCAAATGGACAACCGAGTGAACCGGGAGACGCGGGGAAGAGGGGGGTCATGACCATGCCGTTGCTGGTTTGTTGGGAGCAATGACTTCATGTTGTTACTGGTCTTGGTATGACTGTAATTCTTTAAAATTGGCCTTAATTTCTTTGGGCGTGACGACAAAATGGCGTCATTCTTTGGGTAGAGCGGCGGTGGTGAAAGGAGGGAAGGGAGAGGAGGGTGAAGGTCACAGCGGTAAAAAAGGCCATGTGGGCGAAAATGAGGAAGGGAGGAGATAATCATTTTCACTTTTTATTTTCCAAACAAATTTTCCCAAAAGCATTTTCAAATAATTTTTGATTTCATTTGAACTCTAATTCAAGAACAATCATCACATGAATAAATAGTGCAAAGAAACATGTATGCATCAAAAGTTTCAAAACTTATAATTGATTTTTAATTCCCCAAAATTATTAATTTCCTATAATTGAATGCACACTTAATAACATAATTAAATCAAAATTACTTATTTTAAAGAATGAAAATTTTGGGTGTTACAATTCTACCCCCTTAAGATGAATCTCGTCCCTCGAGATTGAGGCTGATTTATTGATCGAGAGATAGGGATACTCCGTCTTTAGATTCTCCTTTACTTACTCGTGTAGTCCAATCGTCTTGATAAGGATCCCACTTTACCTGCATATATGTTGATCTTACTCCAAGTATCTTGTCCAACTGATTATAAGGTTCTTATTGATACTCCAAACGATACTCAGGTAACTCTAATCACGAGGCCACCTTTCCTTTTGAGTCCACAATACCAATTCTTTTTCTTAAAATACCCACCTTCCGACGAAAATTCCTTACTTTATTGGTCAGAAGGAAATTCTTCCACCAATCTTCAAAACATGAATGATTCCGGTTAAGTTGCTCGAACTTGGAATACAATTCTTGATCCTTGGTGTCATCCGAACCTTCTTAGCACCACTCCCATTGCTAAGGGCATCGGTCATGACTTTTGCTTCTCCAAGTGATAGCACTTTTCCAAGTCATAATCAATTTTCCTTCCAACGAGGATATCACCAATTCAAGACCAACTTAGTGAAGATGTCCTGTAGATTCTTGATCCAAACTAACTTAAAAGCTTCTCTAGTAGCTCTACCAAAATCTTAATGATCTCGGATAAACCTTCGTTGAACCTTTAACCAAACCTTATTGAGACTCTGAGTTTCTCTCACATCTTTGGATACCACCACGCTTCCGCTGCGCAAACAAGAACGTGGAACACTTCGGCTTGCAAATTCTTCACTTGGCTACCCCCCTTAAGAAAAGATGAACTAGGGGACACCAAAGTATAGCTTACATCTACTTCTTTTAGATGTGCTAACTTGTATCAAAATGTTCTGACATCCCAACGTTACTCTTGTATATGGACAAGAAACCTGAAATTCCTTGCGAGACGAAAAACAGCAGTGCAGTAAAACAGCTGTAACTCCCGTTCTGTTAATCCAATGAAGTTGTAGCTTACATCGTTGGAAACCTTATCAAATTTTCCACATCTTCCTTATAGAACACTTTTCCAAATTCCTCAGTTAGCTTGGTCGAAAACAGTGCACAATAGAAACTACTCCAGATTCCAAACAGCACAGATGCCTCGCCTTGTGATTTTCGT